ATACTGACCGGTTGAGCAACCAAACACGAGTTGTGAACATATTAAGCTAACCTTCCTCTTTAATGTGCGGTTCAGCTGAGTCATTCTTTGATCGAAGTCGATTTGAAACAAGCCAAATGTAAGCAACCTCACAAGTGTTATTTTGCGGTGAAAAGAACATCTTTTTCGGATGCATTCATTGCAAAGACAATCCGTTTACACCACACTGTTGTACTTCCGTACTGCACAAAGTCCGCCTTAAGATTTGAACCAAGAAAACTGATCTTTTACGCATTTCTATTGGTTCAAAAGCCCCACATGATCGCGTAAGTCACTTAGCGGAGAGGCCTGGGAGCCAGTTCAAGCACCAAACATGGCACCAAATCACGGCTCGATCGTGAAGAACATGTCTGTCTTTAAAGGCTGTGAATTGTGGTCCCTTTCAGAGTTAATTGTACTATTCCGACGCTGTCCAAGAGTAAAGCAGTGAGAGGAAAATATTGCATTGTTCTCCCAGGTGAGGAAACCTTAGAAAAAAGCAGCAGGCCTATTCATAGTCTGCTACACAGACGTTTTTATTGTCGTCACGCAACGTTCCTCCTATCCACGGATGCGGCATAAAAACTCAAATATTCCTTGTATAGGTTCGCCGAAATACTCCATGCAAAGCAATCTCATCAATCAGGTTGGAATCGAGTAATAGGGAAAATCTTAGCTCTCACCAAAGACACTTTGATACCGAGAAGAGTTATGTACCTAGTGGGATCATTTTCTGTTGGCTATTTAAGTACGGGACCCGTACATCGTCTTCTATTTGCTATTCATACTGGATTCTGACTAAACTGATTAGGACTATTAAAGCCCTGACTCAAAACGGTTAACTTCTAATTAGGGTTACGGTTGTTGTTATATGAATAAAATCAAACTCCACCTAGCAGCTAGTTCAAGTACTACTCCATGGTTAGGCTACAGTATGTTGCCCAGTATCCGGACACTTCAGTTTAACATTGCAATAACTTTCCTTTGTTAGTCACAAGAGCTCTGAAATTTGGCCCAGAGAAAATCTATTTAATCCTTAATATGACAAAAGACAGTTTAACTTTTTTACCTTTGTTTTCATCGAGAAATTAATGTTTTTGCAGAGCTCCTATGTTGCCCAGTATCCGGACAGCTGGCCCAGTATCTGGACACAACAATAACAACGCAATTGTACATAAATTTCGACAGGCAAGCGACTTATAAGCTTCTCTTGCACTTGCAAAGTAGTCTGGCAATCGATTTCAAAAATATAACCTAACATCGTGAAATAAAACACACCAAATGACTGGGGTATGGTGGGGAACGCAAGCGGTTGTTAAATGGCATAATACACCTCCTTGTGTAGGAACTTTTTCACTGATTTAAGGAAGTTATCCGTGGACATGCCGAAGCCGCGGTTTGCTAGCTCAATTAGCCAATCTGCAAACGACTTTTTTTTCTTCATTTTTATTAAAAAAAAAAAAGCTTGGGGAAGGGACCTCAACGAGACGGTCAAAGGTCACTCTCCTATTTAGTATGACCTGCAGTGTTGATTTCTTCATGTTTCTAAGCTCCGTTATTCCAAACAAATAGAATTTCAAGAAATTAAGAATTAATAAACTTTCTGATAACCTGACTTCTTTAAGTATCATCACTTTAAATATAAAACCGTTTCTTTGAAAATATCACATATTACCTACCCTTTTCTGAGCAGCACTAATTTTACTGCGAAGTAAACAGCGTAAATATTAGCCATGAAATGTTTATTCGCCTGAACAGAACGGCGTCCTCTGCGACTGTTTCGCAAGCTTTCTACTCGCCAAAACCTTTCATTCGAAATACTTCGTTTACCGATAGCTGAAAAGGGTGCCTCAAAATTTCGTTTTTGCTTTAAGTATCCGAATACTGGTACGGTCCGGATACTGGGCAACATACTGTACGAACTATGGATCCTACGCCCCGGGATTGGTTGTCAATCTTGCCACATTGAATTTCTCTTCTTTTCAAAATTTGCCACTGAATTCTTTCCTTAAAAATGGAACAGTGGTTGAAGAGACTTACACTTTCATGGAAATTTGTTGATCAGAAATTTCAAGAGACTTAGAAATTTCATATAAATTTCAAGTAGAGACTTGATCCAGTCATAGCAAATACACGTCGGTGTACGGGTCCTATGTCAATATAATGAAGCAACTGCATGTTGTTAATAACAGTGATCTTCTCATATTTTAAATGCAACACTGATTTTAAAAGATAAATGGCAGACAGCCCTAGTACAAACAATTTTCTATATTTATTTTTTTTCATTAAGCACGCAAAACATTCCTCTTTATAGTTAGCAATAAAATTTCTTACACGGGGACTTTCAGCATCGGTGAACAATACTTTTGCATTGTCTGTGTAATTTAAAGTAAACGCACTTAATTTTGCTTTTAGAAAGCTTCCAAATGTTTCCTAATTTGCTATCCGATAAAAAGTGCAGACTTGAACATGTGGTTAACAAGTTGATGAGTTGCTTGATTTCTGAATTTCTATGGATTTTCTCATATATACAAACTGCATGGTATTCTATCGAACTCCATGAACATGCTATGGCATTCCATGGAACTCCATCAGTACTTCAGGGAACCCCATGGCATTTCATGGAACTCTATGATATTCCATAGGAACTCCATCAATACTTCAAGGAACTCCATGGAACTCCATGGATACTCCATTGACCTCCATGGCATTCCATGGAACTCCGTGGATACTCCATGGATACCCCATGGAAGTTCCATGGAATTCCATCGAATTCCATCGATTTCCATGAAATTCCATGGATTTCCATAGATTTCCATGGATTTCCAGTCCATGGCATTCCATGGAGGTATTTCACACGGGTAAGAGAATGTAACTTAAGCTTACAAAATACTGTTGAGCTTTTACTCTGAGACACAGTAATGATTCACACAAAATGTTTCTCTAAGACATAGGAAGGTAAATACAAAAAGTGGAACAAAATCTTAACCCTCGATTAGCGCTAATCGGCCTTTCAGGAACCGGGCCCAGAGTGCTTGTTTGTTTTATGTCTGGTTGTCCTAGCTATCTAATCTACCCATCCGATTGTTGTTGAATGGTTTGCACTTAACGTAATCATAATTCAAAATAAAGAATTATTTATCCTTCTGAGTTTCAATTTAGTGAACTATTAGAGCAACTGAACACGTGTATTTCTACAAAGTTTCAGTTCGAAAGGGTTCTTCATTTTGTGACAGAACACGTTTGAGTATTCTAATATATTGCGTGACGACAATAATGGGCAACAAAAGTTGTCACGTAACTGTAGTTTAAACAGTGACATATCTTTTTTTTTAGATTTTGCTACCTGAACAGTCCTTGTTTTTTGAATAAGTATTAAGTTTAATGTTTATGAGCTCTCCAGAGATGAGTACTCGCTTTATGGCAATGTTTCTGTTAGTTTCCGGCCGCCATATCTGTGTTCCTCAGAGGGACGCCAACATGGCTGGCGTGTCAAATTTCTCCGAATACCTCGCAAACGAAAAAAACGCACAGACCTGATTCTTAGCAAGACTTTTTGCATATCCCTTAGATTCCTTAATTTATTCATTTCCACACAGGTCAGCAAACTTGCTAAGAAACAGATAAAGCAAGCGGAGAAAATTCAATCTACTATGGAAATAACCCCATTACTACAAGATAACAGCGAGGACACAGCGTCGACTTCTTATCATCTCGGTGACGAAGTATGAAATATGTCAGCCAGGAGGGCTAATAGATTTTAGATGACGTTCATTTCTACTATATATTCTCGTGTAATCCTGACTAGTGCAATCGATAGAGTCGATAATCGATAATAATGGATAACTCTCGATAAAGAGCGATTAATTAAATTGAAAATCGATAAAAATCGATAGAGGAAAAAGTTGTTGCTAATCGATAATTACCGACTTTAATCGATTTTTATCGAAGTTGTCGATTTTAATCGGCTTTTACTTAATTCGGTTAACATTAGCAAAGAACGTTGTTTCCGAACATACGTACATTATTTATGTGGCTATGGACGGTTAAATTTGTAGCGAAAATTTATTTCACAAATTACACTCAATATTCTAACAAAACATTTTCGGCCAATCGACAGGATAAAAAAGAGTCATAAGCAACTGATTCAGCTTGCTTGCACTGGAAACTGTTCAAGTTGAACCCTACAATGTATAGTTCAAGTGGTGAGGATACTGTTCAGTGTACAGTTTTTCAGCAAGACCATTAAATTGCTTCTTCAAAAAGCATATTGGAAAGAATCATTTAAATCGCTCTGTAAATATGCAAAACAAAGTAGATAATGAACTCCGCAACTAAATGGAAAGAGAAGTAACATGACCATAAAACATGAAAAAGATGTGAGAAAATCATCATTTAAAACAAAAAACATCTGCACATTGCTAATATAATTTGCTGTAAAATAATGCATCATTGGATTTTGAACCTGGGAGGCAATCGATAATATCGTTAAATTAGTTAAAAACGATAGCGCTGACAATTGATTTTCTGATATCAGTTTTTATCGATTGCGCTAGTCAGGTGTAATATGCAATTGTGCCTTCAGAAGTGTTTTTTATACCACAAAACGTAATCATGAGTTAATCGTCAAATTTATTTATTTAGAGTAAGTACGTTTTACCTAGATTTTAAAATCCTCCTATATCTTTTTGTCCTGGCAGCTGTAGATCATCTGGTTGTTGTTGATCTTTAGTCTTTAATTCACCGAAATTCTAAATGACCATCGCATAAAGTAGCAACAGAGTAGAAATTTGAGGTATACTTGAACTTATAGAATACAAGATTCCACGACTGATATTATAATAAAGAATGATAATGGTTAAACGGAGAAAATGGCCAGTACTGGACCAATAAATTACGGTATTTGTTTTGTTTTGTTTTTTACATAGGAAAGTAAACCTGCTAGAGATCGGACAAAGCAGGAGCAGCAGACGAACGAGAACATGGAATTGACTTCGTTGTCAGAAAAAAGTATTAATGATGAGGTCCGACAGTACCTGGCGTCGACTCTTCAAGGCCATCATGTATGAAGGAAATACTTAAATATTTCATTTTATTTTTCTTAAATTTATTTATCGTTATCAAAAGAAAGCAATGATAATGTCCGACAGGATCTGGCGTCGACTTTTCAAGGCCATCTTGTAGAAAAGAAATACTTAACAACGTATTTTTTTCTCCTTAAATTTAATGATATTGAACGAGGATAAGGCATGCAGACAATGAGGAAGCTTGCTATAAATTAAGCAGCAATTTTCCGCGAAAGAAAAATTCGATATATCTTTCTTTAAATTATTCTATTTTACCGTGCTCCAAAATAATCTAACGAAAAAACTCTAGGAATCACTTGCTGAGCCATTGACTCCATCCACAATACAACCCATGATCTGTCTGATGTAAAGAATTTTCAGTTGTATGTTAATGTGGCTTTATTACTGGTGGCGATGAAAGGTCCTTAGAGCAATCTTTCTGGGTCACGCCAATACCAGAATACGATCAATCGAAGCACCCACGCGTGCATTCGATAACTCTTTGCAGGTATGGCAAATGAATCTACATGTATATTTTGTTATCTAAGGGACCGGTCATTATTTACCGCCGAGGGGGAATGGGTGGGGGAGTAAATTTTAGGTGGGATCACTTGATTTTTGGGAGAACAAAAGGGGGGATCAGTTGTAACTGAGAACCCAAAAGGGGGCATCACTGAAAACTTTGGAAGTATTCAGAGGGTGGGACCACTCAAATTTTCTTGGAAAATGAAGACATGGAGGGGGGGGGGGGGGACGCGAAAAACATCAAAAGTTATTTGGGGGGCCGGATCACTTCAGTGAAGTAACATTCAAAGGAGAGATCGGCTAAATTTCACCTTGTTTAGCCCCAAATCCTCCCCCCAGGCGATAAATAATGACCAGTCCCTAATTTAAATATTACTTTCCACCCAGTGGCACGGTCCCATTTTTGCTGAGATTCTGGGTACTTAAATTGAGGCTCAACAAGCATGACTGCTTTAAGATGTTTTATGGTATCAATCTTTGTATTACGTCATTTGCTGATTGCACCCATCCGAAACACCAAGAAACAACCGCTTTTAGCCATGTTCTTCCTGAAAAACCTTTTCATCGAAAGGACGGGAGGATTAATCTGTCTTCCCTTCACGCACAGGAAGGACGGGAAAGCAAAGTTTCGACTAAGGCAAACGAAAAGAAGACACAAGTGACTATGGAAATGGCTTCATTGCTCCAGGATGACGTTGCAAAGGACATGGCTTCGGCCACTCACGATCTGTCTGATGTAAGAAGGAAGTGTCTAAGGCCACAACCACACGAATCCGGATGCGGCGAAACCGAATACTTCATTTTTGCGTCGACATAAATTCACGCATCGGCGAAACCGAATACTTCATTTTTGCGTCCACATAAGTTCACGCATCCACACGAATACGCTACTGCAGTTTGCAATTGCAATTGCACTCTGGCCAGCGGTGTGATTTCACTGTCCGTATATCCTTCCCACTTCCAGTGCTTTGGGGCAACATTTCACACACTTCTCAAGTGGGAATGCCAAAGAGAAATAACTAGGTAAAGGCCGATTGATTCGTCTGGAGCGAAAGTAGACAGAGGGTTGTTGGCCTCTACTTCAAATTTTCAAGTTCCCATTTAAGCCTGGACCCGAGTTATGACGTAGCTGATTTAGAAATATCCGGTTTCAGTCGTCTTTACGAACTCGCCAAACCCGACGAATTAACAAAAAATTCCACTCTGTAGAGGGGTCTCAATGCGGTCTCGGTGAGCGGATTTACCGTTTTCGTGTAGATGGAAGGCCGATTCGTATTAAAAAGCGTGCGGTTTCAAAAATATCCGGATTCGTGTGGACGAGGCCTAAGGCTTACAAGTTTCCTTTTCTCACGTAACGAAGGGTGTGACATAACACCCCTCGTCTGTACGTTCGTTGGGTAACGTTAAACGTGACCTTGAAGTGGAAAAATAGCGCGTTACAAGCGACCGTGACTAAGAAGTGGAACATTTTGGTTTGCGAACGTTAAAACTTTTTTACCCTCTTAATTCTTGTACTGAAGTCTTGTTCTTGTGCCCGTGAAATTTCATCGTTTTTGCATAGGTACCCCAAGCTCAAGAGTGAGAATCATTTATGCGTGACATTTTATGAAGGCTTGCATGTGGTTTCAAGCGTATCGCAATTGGGGTCACAAATAGAAATATCAGCTCAGTAGTCTGTCTAACCTCAGTTGACTCCATGTTTTCATTATTGAGTTATAGACGAGATTGCGTCACACATTTAAATATTGCTGGTTTACACATTACGTCATCAAAAACTCAAAGGAAAGAATTATCGATCCTCCTGAGTTCTTACTTTCATGAATTATTAGAGCCGCTAAAAACTAATATTCAGAAAAATTTTCATTGCGAAAGAAGTTCTTCGTTTTGTGATACAGTACGCTTAAATTTCTAAGCTTTTGTGTAACGAGGCATTTACTTGGTAGCTACTGCGAGCAAGCTCTCCGAGGCGCTCTGGGGGCGGGGCGGGAAAAGAAAGGAGCCTGCTTGCAACTACGTCTCTGGAATTTGAATTCTACCTCCAATTCGCCTGTGGCTCCCCGTTGACTGAGCTGTCAGACTTTCGCAAATCAGTGCGAAGCGGAAACGAACGCAATTGTAAACAAATATTGAAAAACACGTGCCAAGGGTAATCGCGTCATTACTAATGTCATCTACGCCAATCAGCATTTCGCATCGACTTGTTCATTTTCCAGAGACGTAGCTGCAAGCTCTCCTTCCTTTTCCCGCCCAGCCGCCAGAGCACCCTAGAGAGCTTCCTCGTAGGCTATTTACACGGCGGACGAGAGAGCTGTACCCTGGGTGCCAGAGACTTTTCTAGCGCGGATTCCGGTTTGTCGGCCTACGGCCAACACCGAAAATTCCCGCCGTACGCGAGAAAAGCCTCTGGTACCCAGGGTAAGAGAGCTGCCATGAAGGCTGAAAAATTGACTCTGTTGGGGGATTTTGCTATCTGAATGGTCATTGTATTAATGTCAATGTTAATGAGTTTCTCAAGAGATGAATTCACCCTGTAGTAGCACAACTCCGTGACACATGTTTCTGTTGGTTTCCGGCCGCCATGTTAGTGACCATACGGATGGGCACCAACAATGTAGGTAAAAAAAATGCTCCAGCGAGGGCCGTTGTATATTTACCTTCTTTCATTTCTCAGATTCTAGACTTTATCTATTAAACGGTTTTGTTTTTTATTTTTAATTGCGTGACAGTGAAAACCAGCAATAGCGTTACATTTTTTATACGGGTAAATGTCATCGCCATTTTCTTTAATCATTTAGCAAAGTTTGGCTGATGACTATGAAGTTAAGGAGGATCAACAGTCTATACACCAAGACCAAGAAGACATTACAGTGTCTCTGCAACAAAGCAACAAAGATGCCATTCTTGAAGTGATTCCATCGACTTCCACCGAAGTAGATGTAAGACGAAAACAAAAACACCATAATTAATGATTCACTAATAAAGAAGAATTTTCCTCTAGGGCGCCTTATTTTGCTTACGTTTCACGTTAGAAGGACACAACGTGATCTTCGTGTTCCTGTGCCACTAATGTGTTTCGTCGATGGTGTACCTTTTCTGCGCTGTCTTGGATTTACGTTTCAGCGTCTTGTTTTCATTCTCTTGAGATATTTTCAGTTGCGGGCTTGTGACTTCCAGAACGATGGCTGATATAACGAATCGTCTAGTAAAATGGTGTGTTTGTTGTTTTTAGTCAGTAGGACGTGTATCAGCAGGTGACCGCGGCTTTCTGGGTAAACATCAAACTGTTGTCGTGGATTTTCATCCTAGACTTGAAAACAGTACCCTGGACCCAAAGTAAATTTTATCTAGCTCTGAACTGGTCAATTTGAAGTTGCTTTCAATAGATAATACTTGTATATTCCGTGGCTCTTGTCTGGCTTAAGAAAATTATGTTATTTTTATATTTTTATCCTTTAGTTACTTATTTACTAACAAGGAAAATAATTACTTGAAAGCTGTGCTGTTTCAGGCTAAACCAAAAATTTGATAGTTTTTTTTTATATCAATTTAATTAGGATGAGGAATTCAAAGTAACTGACAAAGAACTTCTAACCAGGCGATCGGCATCACTAGGAAATAATCAAGCCTCTGCAATGCCACTTTCAATTGAAAACCTAGAGGAGTCGGACGAGGATTCTTGTGACGTAGAGGAGAACTTTTCTACCAAACAACTGTTTTCATTTGCCTGGCAAATAGCTAAAGGAATGGTAATTATCTTTGTTTTCTGGATAATGTTGCTGGGATTCTGATTCTGAGTATAACTTGGAAAGAAGAATTCAGAAGTCCATATTTTATAAACATGAAATAGATGGGATAAATGTATTGGCTGTTTTCTAGATATGAGTACATTAAAATGGCTTATATGGAATTTCTTTTCGGTGGACCCAGTTTTGGCTAAATTCGTTTCGTTATGAATCTAAACGTAAATATTTTGGATCAGATCAGTGCCGATATTTACTTTTCATTTGTATTTTTTCATCTATACTTAACTACTTGGTGTTCGGCGTACCCCCGTTATTATGTTTTGAGATAATTTTAATCGTTTTTTCGTTGCTTATTTGTTATTAGAATCATCTCGCAGAAAACAATCTTGTTCACAGAGACCTTGCTGCCCGTAATGTTCTTGTTGGCCATGACAACCAGATCAAAGTGTCAGATTTTGGGTTGATGAGACAAGTCTATGAAGATGTGAGCAGCTCAGCGAAGTCCACAAAACTTCCTGTAAAGTGGATGGCCCCAGAATCACTTTATCAAGGGGTTTACACGACCAAAAGTGATGTGTGAGTGATGAGTTTTCCCGCTCCCTTGACAAGGGAACTATTGAAACTTATCTACTGAATCACTTTTCAAAATTGTAGTTGCCGTCAAAAATTACAGAAGCATATAACTCTGAAGCACCTAAATCCCCTTATTTTTTTACAACCATGCTAGGGTTTTTAGCCGTCCAATTAGAAGCACGGAAAATTGTTTGCCCAAATATGGAATCATAGTATTGAAGGCGTCTCTGTCGAAATATATAGCTGCTAAAAACGGATCCTTCCAGTCCTTAACAGTTGTCCAATTACATCCAAAACTCAAGAGTACACGCATTTTTGGGCTCCTTCGTGGGCAGTAAACAATCTAAATGCCGTGAATCTGTACATATTTATAACCTCTTTGGTTTTTCTCATAGTTGGTCTTTTGGTGTTGTTCTTTGGGAAATGGCTACCTTGGGTGAGTGGATAGTAATTTTGTAGTTTATAGTTGTTATGTTAAATTTGAGGTGACGACTGACAAATCATAAAAACATTTTTCATGGTCTATGACTCTTATAGACCGTAGAAATGATGTCAAAATGTTGAAAAACTCATGCACGACCCGCAGGACAATGGTTTTACAATGCAAAGTTTTGAGCTCTCCAAGGGAATTAAGGGAACCGTGCCTTAACCCACCTTCCCCGTTTCCCATGGTGGGATGTAGCTTATAACTGTTACGATTGTTATCAAGGTTACTGCTACCAGGAAGGGCGAAAACAATGTTTTATAATGCTTCATTTGCGGCAAGTTTGAATTTTCTTGTTTGATCTGGGCTCTGTTTTAATTAAGTGCTCTGAGTAGATCTCCTAGATGATAACCGTATGTGACAATACATATTTTAATAATGTCAAATTAAAAAATTTGCGAGCATTTGATGACTGGAAACGAGAAGCCTTATTGTTAATCACCCTAACTTCTTTCATTACACATTTTACTGCATTGGCAATATATCAGACCTCCATTCAATCAACCGTTTTTGCAAAATGGCCTTATTGAGTTTATATGAGCAGAAGTGACAATCGACTGAGGCATCTTTAATAGAAATCTATATAATGGAAAATTGCATGTATTCAGTTGCTGATATGTAATCATTTGTTTTCTTTCTCGCAATCGTCAGGAGGCGTACCATACCCCACGCTGACCAACTCAGAGTTATATCGACTGCTCGATACTGGTTATCGCATGGAAAGGCCTGACATGTGCTCCGAAGACGTGTACGTTTCTTGATTAGAGTGGTCTTAGATTTAACAAACAGATTCGATTTTTCTGTGCGTCTGCTCAGTTACATTTCACACCGAACGGTGCAGCATACGAATTCGTCAAATATTTTAACACCTTCTTTGATCATATTAAATACTGACCAGACGGACGGCAGGGGAAAACTTTTGATGGGATCCTCACTCTTAAAACAAAAAGGAAACCCTCAGTCCATTAGCTTTATGGTCAATAAAGGCATCATTATTAGTGACTAGGTTAATCTCTTTCCTGGGGCCGGGGGAAGTACTACCTGTACTGGGGAGGCACTCCCCAAAAGGGGTACCTCTCTCAGTCTTCTGGTGTAGGAATTTTGTTAGTCGAAGTGTATGAAAGGGTAGGGAAATCTGTCATTTCGGTCTGTAAAATGACTTAAGAGTACCAGATAAGATTTTTTGGCTGTGAAAAAGTCGAGAAAATGTTCTAATTTGTTATTTATTCATATTTAAAAGGAAGTGCATTTTTCAGCAATTAAAAGGGATAAAGTTGAAGTTCTTTTCTGTCAAAAATGATACTCAAAATGATAAGGGGTTGGACCTCGGGGCAGAGCTTTACATACTAATGGCTGGATAAAGGAATGGGGAATCACATGATAACCCAAACGTTCCAAGAGCCCATTTTAATGGGCTTTACGTGGAAGCTTCACCCAAAAGGAGTACCTTTTTAGGCCACATGTATATGGAAAGTGGGGAATTTAACGAGCTAAAATGTTTGAAATGGTAGGAAATTTTGTAACTTCGGTAATTTACTTTAAAAGATATTTTAAACAGATGTACCTGTATTGTATGCTTCATGTTAAGGGCTTAATGGCTTAAAAAGTGAAGAAGTCGTACTATTTTTCAGGGTAGGCAAGAAAGGAATGTATACGAAAGAGGTACCTATTCCGTCAAAAATGCTGTACAAAAAGGATTGGGCCTCACTGTGGAGCCTCCCTGTAAACTCATGAAGCTAAGAAGCCTATATATCCTATCAAAAAATTTCTTTTATTCCAATAGACCTCTTTCGCTTGAATGTGTTGTTTTCCCAATACAGGTCATGTGTAACGGTCAAATTCCCCTGGGGCCTCTTTTGGGAAACCAAAACATAAAAGCTATAAAGAGGTCTTTTGACACTGTCTAATAATTGACTGGAGCTCTACTAAGCATTGAATGGTTCTTTTTTCTCTCCATTCATAACAGATATGAGGTGATTACTGACTGTTGGAACGAAGACCCTTACATTCGTCCCAGTTTCTACCGTTTGATCGAAAAACTGGAGGCGATAATGGAAAGGGATGCACCATATTTGAATGTAAACAAACACAAAGAATATCATCCGTATTACAACGTGCCACCTGAAGCTAGTTCTGATTAATATGGAGAAGAAGGAGCATCCCCAATAATCGGACAGTTTAAGACTTAACGAGTATAAACAGTAAATGCATACTTATTGACTTAGATACTAAGCTAAGAAAATACTGAAAGAATTATAACAAACATAAAAAGAGCTTTAACTGCAAAAAAAAAAGAAGTGTAACAGTAAGGCTCTCCAGATCTAATCAGGAGCCCATCATCCAGGAATGTTAATCTCCCTTATAGCGTGCTAAGATTTTTACTAGGCTAGTATGGACTAATCTTTCACGCAGAAAAAAAGAGCTGGACTGAGTAGGATTTCCAGCAATCAGCGTATGCGATCAAAGAAGTATAGAGCTATTAACGTAAAACTATTAACAGTGATTAAGGTTTTAACTGAATGACGAGCCTTAAAAGTTAGCCACTAAACTGAGAAGATAGCTCAAGATCAACCGTTATGTTGGATTTCACCGAAGTTGTTTTTAGTGCAAGGAGAATTTTTCGTAAACGATTGTATTTATTACTGTCAGTAGTGTAAATTATAAACGGAGAGGTTTAAATAAGAATCTAGGGATTACATATTTAACTATTGTTTTAATGCTTTGCAAAATGCTTACTAGATATAGACTGGCTGAAAAACATGTAACACTATCAGTATTATTAAAATAACATTGTTCCGCACTAGACTTGGTTTATACTTTGGCATTTCTCATTTCAAATTAGCAATCATGTAAATGGTTTGACCAAGGAATGACTGCATGATCTGATAAGTCATTAACGTCGCGGTACTCCTTTGTTTGTCCGTCAGTTTAAGCCATGGTGCCTCAGGGTAATTTAAAAAAAAAAAAAACAACAACAACAACAATAAAAACAAACCGTCCTTTGTCATAGTTATATCTAAGACTCGTACCCAACGCTATTTATGTGTTTTGGGGGTGAGAGAAGATTGGGGGTTAAGTTAAGGCGCGCGCGGGGTCTCATGGGAAGGAGCGAAGAAAAAATAGCGGCGCTATTTTTCCTTCGTGCGAAGTGCTAAAGTGCTGGCCTCAGTTGTTCAAAACGTGGATAAAGCTATCCACTGGTTATAAATCTCTATCTAACTTCAAGGATTCAGCGTAGTCTAAGAAATAGACTCAACGCAAAGCTTCATTTTCCCTTTTTTTTTTTTCTTAACCAGGGCGGGGTTGTTGAAAGGCGGGTTAAGCGAACCCAGGGTTATTGCGAAATTTGAATTCAGGTATGAAAGCTTTAAAAGTAATTCAGTTTAATCCTTTTTGCATGTGATTTTTTGATTGGATGCTCTAAAAGAATAGACTGAGGAAATTAACCCGAAAAATACTTTTTCGACTTTCAAAAAAGTACGTTTCCAGATTTTACCGCACGATCGCAAATTTAGAGTTCACCTGTCATGTCTCCAGTGGTGTGATCAAATGAAGGTGCTGTGCCGGAAGAAGGTGTATTTCCTTTGTGTCGAGTCCAGTTAAACTTGTCATCTGTGCCTTGCTCAAAACCGCACAAAGATACATCAAAGTTGCATGTAAATTCTAGGTGAAGACGGTGAAGAGAAAGAAATGAATGCTAACGTTATCTTCTGAATTGGCTGGAAATGCTACTTGAACCGGTTCATTTTAGACTGTTATATTTTCAGTCTCGATGACTCTCGCTTTTTGGCGTTGTATCAGGCTGGGTCTTCAGTCTTGCGGTCTTGTTTCTCCGCCTAATCTTTTACCACTTACTTATCGGAGTCCCCAAAACTAAAATTACCAGTTCAAATTCCGCTTGCTGCCTTACAATTCAGGGCTATGAATTCGATATACGTTCCCACACCTCTTGCCTCTGGAGGTGTTGGAATGTTTATTTATGAAACATTGAATTACAAAGTTATAGAAAAAACCTCTAATGAAGCATTTCAAGCGTTATGGATTGAAATGCCTTTTGCTAAAAAGAAAAATGTAATATGTGGTGTGACTTACAGACAACGCAACTCTCCAGACCTTTTTCAAAGGTATTTTGAAGAAACTATAGAGAAACTTACTCCAACAGGAAGTAAGTACCCTGGATAAACCATACTAACCCAATTTTAATCGGAGCTGTTTCGTCCTTTAGAGTGAGTTTTACTTAAAAAAATTTTATTCCCAGAATGATCAGTCTACCTACCTTCACAACTGGCTTCAATTTCAATGACAAATTCATCAACTGATTTCCTGGCTCTTTCCAGCTTCTCATTTATCTCGTTCTTTTTTCGGTTTATATAATTGGAGTAGTCTGCAAAAATTACTTGGCAGTTATTACGTACTGTGGGTTGTCATGGTTATTTACATGGTGCGCAGAAAAATTGATATAAAGAATATATATTGAAATTTCAACATTTTTTAAAAAATTAATCTTGTACTCATGGAGTTTCAGTTGTAAATGTGTTCGAGTTAAAGTGTGTCCCGTTTTATCATAAAGTTTTAGTTCTTCTGCTAACGA